AAATAATTAAAAAAGAAATATTAAAAGAAAATATAGAATCCTATAAAAACAAACTTTTATCAAGTTATTGGACGGAAATTAATTTAATTGGATATAAAATTGAATTGTTAGAAAAACAAAAAGTTGAATATTTAAAAGAAAAAAGCAGAATTATTTATTTTGGCAATAAAATAAGTAATAAAAATTTTTATTTTTTGGCATTCTCACATTGTGTACTCCTCCATGACGATATTTCTACTAGGGCCTAAAATTAGTTTCTTTAGTTAAAAATAGGGTTGCGCGAGGTCGAGGCCTCGCCAAAAACCTCGACCTCGAACCTCGCTTTTTCAGTCTCGGTGATCTTCGGTCTCGGTTTTTTCGAAAAACCTCGACCTCACGCAAACCTAGTTAAAAATCGAGGGCGTCTTATAATTTATTCCTAAATATAGATCAATACAATAAAAAAAATAAACGACATTGTTTCAATTGTAACTCTAAACAGACGAAAAAATGGTATATATACTTTGAGAAATACAATTTGTGTAAAGCATGTTACATTTATAAACAAAAAAATAACGGAGAAAATAGACCAGAAGTATTTTGGATTAAAACTAAAAAGGTTCCTAATTTTTATAATTTTTAATAGATTATTCATATAAATAATGTTTCTGTTGAATTTAACTTAAGGAAGATAGACATTGCGCAATTTGCAAAGTTAATAAAACACCAAAGTGGCACCGTTATTCAGCACTTTATCAATATATATGTAGATCATGTTACAATAAACAATATTATAAAAATAGAACAAACAAAAATTTATAAGAAACAAAATGGTAGTACGCTACTATTGAGACTTCAGTAAAGGAATTCAATTGATGATTAAATTTGTTTGTCATATACTTTCCCTTTCTTATATCTTGATAAATATAATTGTTAAATAAAAAGTTAAAAATATTATTTCCTAACTAACAGAAATTATTGGCTTTTCCCTCTTGTTTTTAATCATAACTTTGTATTTTACTAAGATATAAATAAATGTTACGTTATGTTTTTAAATATCGTTTTTTTATTATAATTTATTATTGAAGCGTACTATTTATTAGGGTGTTCCGCGACGTAAGGTGGAGGGAGGACGGGGAATTTTCAAAAAATCTATCAAACTCGTCCCAATGAATGGGCATGGAGGGATTAGTGCCAATTAGAAAAGTATCAACTGAGATATCGAGTGAGTTTTGAGGATCGAATGGATTTGTGGTGATAAGTTAGTTTTTTACGTTTAATTCTTAGGGATTAAGAGATATCTGTGGTTGAAGAATTAAGAAGGTATATCGTGGGATTTGGGGATATCGTAGAGAATCAACTTATATTAATATTCTCTTTGGGAGAATCTACATTATATTGATGCTCGGGAGAAGAAAAAACCCGGAATCGGGAAACGGGAGTCGGGTCGGGAAATGACCTCGGGAGTCGGGATCGGGAGTCGGGAATTAGCAATAAAAAATTTTTCCAAAAATTTCGATTTTTTGCACCATAGGCAAAAATATTGAAAATTTTGGAAGGTAAAGAAGCCTTACTAGCGCCGCAGGCAAAAATTTTGAGAATTTTTAGGTCAAGAAGTCAAATTTCTTCCATTTTTTGCGCCGCAGCCAAAAATTTTGACTCTCATTGGAGTGAAATAGAAAGGGGTCTTGAACGATCTTTAAGTGTAACTTAAGAGTTTATTTCCCCGATATTTGGAAAGATAAGCCAACAGCCTGTCCAAAAAACCTAGTAACCGCAGAGATAAATAGTGTTGGGTATTGCTGGGGGCTTTTTCTTTGAGCCAGAGCCCAGCTTTGATTTATATTTGTTGTCATTGACCTTAAGTCCTTAGAATCTCTCCATTGGAGTGAAATAGAGGAAAAGTGAAACAGAAAAATATTTTTATGTTCAATTTCGTGGAATTTTGGTGAACTAGCCACATATCTCTTTATATCCTCTCAATAGTAAATATTAACACCCCCTATGCAACATTAATCATCCATTGATATCTCTCTTTATTACTGCAAATCCCTCGTTATCTCTTTAAATTCACCATAATCCTAGTAAATCACCGAAATCTTCTATACTACAACTCCACAGATTCTTCAATTTTCAGCGCCGCAGGCGAAAATTTTGAGGATTTTGGAAGATCCTTAAGCCAAAAATCTTCGCTTTTCAGCGCCGCAGGCAAAAATTTTGGGAATTTTAAAAGACCAACAGGCCAGATTTCTTCATTTTTTCTAAATAAAAATATAATTTTGTCAGAAAAATCCATTCTTAGGGGTGTAAAAATTTCCCGACTTAGTCGGGAATTGACACCGGGAGTCGGGATCGGGAGGCCAAAAACTCGGGAAATTTTCCCGAGTCGGGAGTCGGGATCGGATACCCGAGCATCACTACTACATTATATACATATTATTCAAATTTCAAATTTATTCATAACTCCAAAGGGTATACAATATACCGCTAATATGGAGAAAAAATGTATACAAATATATGTAACGATTGAAATGTAAAAATAATGTTAAGAAATTAATTTTAAGTAGAAAAGAAGAATAATAAGGTAAGTATGATTTTTAGAAATAAATTAGGAACACAAAAGTTTAAATTGATTTAACTGGTGCTTAAAAAGAAAGTTGAAATAAGTATTCTTAAAAAATATATATTTTGGTTACAAAAAAAAATACTAATAAAAAAACGAAAAATAAATCATTTTAAAAAATAAGCATAAAAAATAAAAATGGGGTCGAGTTGAGATAGGAATTTTGGTTTATAAATGTTTTGGGCGTGGTAGGTTTAGACAAAAAATTATTTTAGATGGTATGTATATTTATTTATAAGTAGTGTGAGAAAGTCAATACATAATTTCGGCAATTATTTAAATTTTTTAGTGTTGTTCTTAGGGTAGGTTAAATTGATATGTTGAGTTTTCCCAGGATTGGGGGTAGGCATATTTTTAAATTGTTTTTAAATTTGTTAATTGTATGGTCAATAAAAATTTCCTTAGGGAGTAAATTCCAAATGGTTGTTGTTCTGTTAATGAAAGAATTCGAAGTTTTATTATTTTTATGTGAAACTTGGATCATATAATTGTGTTTTCTAGTAGGCCTAGAATTTTGTATAAACATTTCGTTAGGGTTTAAGCTTGTTAGATTGAAGTATATTTTATACATTGTGACTAAGTCTATGTAATATCTTCTTATGAGAAGAGGTTCTAATTGGAATAATTTTAACCTGTCTTGATATTTGAATTTTTTGTTTCTACATTTTTTAAGGGCGACTCTTGTGTAAAATTTTTGTACTTTTTCTAAAGTATTAATCAAAACTTTTTGCTTAGGGTTCCATAAAGGTGATGCGTATTCGAGTATTGGAAGTACATAGGTTTTAAATAAATTGCCCCAAATTTTGGGATTATAAGTATGTATGATTCTTAGTAGTTGATGACACCTACTGCAAATCCCTCGTTATCTCTTTAAATTCACCATAATCCTAGTAAATCACCGAAATCTTCTATACTACAACTCCACAGATTCTTCAATTTTCAGCGCCGCAGGCGAAAATTTTGAGGATTTTGGAAGATCCTTAAGCCAAAAATCTTCGCTTTTCAGCGCCGCAGGCAAAAATTTTGGGAATTTTAAAAGACCAACAGGCCAGATTTCTTCATTTTTTCTAAATAAAAATATAATTTTGTCAGAAAAATCCATTCTTAGGGGTGTAAAAATTTCCCGACTTAGTCGGGAATTGACACCGGGAGTCGGGATCGGGAGGCCAAAAACTCGGGAAATTTTCCCGAGTCGGGAGTCGGGATCGGATACCCGAGCATCACTACTACATTATATACATATTATAATCAAAAGTTTTTATATAATAAGAATATTCTAGAATTTCAAGGAATTACCTATGAGTATCACGTGAAAAGAACTTATTTTTTAACTTTCAAAATCTATATTGTTTATTTATACATAATGCCCTTTTATATAAATGCCCTTTTATTTATTTAAATTTTATTTAAATAAATAATGAAATATGTATGTATGATCAAAGAAATAAAAAATATTTCAACGAAAAGCACTAAAGTCTCGACAGTTAAGTGCAAATCCATTGCGACATAGGCAAAATGATTTTTTAATAATTTACATAATTATAATTAAATAATAAAATTTACATAATATAAAGCAAGAATAATAAAATATTGTTGCTATTATTTTCATAATATAATAATTTCTTTTTAAAATAATTAAGCAAGAATTATACGTACATTTTTATTTTAATTATATAGTCAAATCTATCCTTTAGAAACCCTTGAGTCTAAATTTTGGGTCTTATATTGAGGTGTAGTGAGGATTCTTAGGCAGCTCCTTCCTCAGCGACCAACTAAATTTTTAAACATTTATGTTGAATTTAGGTGTAAAAATTTTTACTCGAGAGATTTTTATGTTATTTTTTATTTAAAATACCCAAGATGTACATATCTAGCTTCAGGAATATCTTTTAGTTAAGGCTGAATTTATTAAAAAATTTTTACTTTTAAAATTTGCAGGGTAAAATTAAAAATGTTTTGTAATATTAAAATAATAAATATTATTTTACTCGAAATTATTATTTTAATTCAATTAATTAATAATTCAAAATCAACACCTTTAATAAAAGCTCCCGCAAAAATTTCCTCTCCCCATTTCCCAATTAATTTAAAAAATAATTTGGCAAGCGATCAAAAATTTTTAAATAACAAAATTGTATTTAATAATCAAAAAAATAAAAAGAAAAATTTACAAAAGATAAACTCTTCAAATTATAAAAATTTTGGAAATAATTTTAATAATAATGTGCCAAAAAAGAAAATAAATGATGAAAATTATAAAAACTGTAAAATAACAGAATCTGATGAAGAATATAAAAAATATGGAATTAATGGGGCAGTAGATGGGGGAAAACGAGAGTTTGTCTCGAAAGAGGAATTAATTCAAAATAGAAATGATTTAGAAAACAAAATAGATTTAATGGTTGAAGAACATTTAGTGGGGAAAAATAAACGTAAACGTGTTCCAAATATGCTTATTTTGCCATTTGATGAATTATGGAAGAATAAAAAAATTTTTGAAAATAAAGAAATGAGGGAAATGATTAAGAGAGAATGGAATTTAAAAATGGTGGCATATATGGTCAAAAACGATGATTTTAATATTGATGAAAGACTCGAAGAAAAGGAGGTTTGTTATTGATATTTTCGGGCTTTTGTGGGTACTCTTCTCTGTTCATAGACAACGGTCTGGGTTATCTGAAATCTGGGTTATCTGAACACGGAAACTCGAGGGATGAAATGGCCAACATTATTGAACCGGAAAAAAATAACCTTGATTTTGAGAATCCGCAAGTCGTGGATTAATTACTAAAGAAGTCTAATAATCAAAAACTATTGTAAAATACAGGTAATATCGGATCTAAATGAGGCAGTGAAACTGAAGATAGTTCTTGATGAATGTGACCGTATAAACGAATTTCTTATGGCTCTATGTATTGTAGAAGAGCAAATGAAATATTATAAAGAATGGGAAAATCAACGTTTTTTTCACGATATTCAGCAAGTTTTAAATTCACTTTTTGGTATTGAGAATGTAAAAATTGTAAAAAATATTGATAAAATAGCTGAGAATGAATATGATAATTTACATTCTGCTGATGATGTACTTTTATCGTATCTTTCGAGTAGTCAGAATGAAGTAGATGAAATTATAGAGCGAATTTATGAGGCTGAGAATGGTAGGAATAATAATTTTTAGATTTAAAATAATTTAAAAAAATTTTTTAAGTGGTTTACAAAGCAAAAGAAATGGTGAAGAAATTAAATAAAGTTTATCAACGTCTGGAAGAAGAGAAGGAAAAGATTCCTAAAATTGGAAAGAAGGATGAAGAGAATGAAGGGATGAACAAGGATGAAGCTGAAGAAATGGGAAAGGACGAATTGAAGGAGGTGAAGAAGATTGGTGATGTAGATGATGTGAAGAATGTGAATAAGGAAGAGCCAAATCAAGAAAGGAAGGAAGAGAAGAAGATGAAAAATAATTAGAAGTGAAAATGATGAGGAGGGTAAAACTAGAAAGGAAAGAATAAAAATGAAATGTTGATGCGATTTTCTATATTTTTTTAAATTTTTGATTAAATTAGTAGTCGAATATTAAACGAATAAATGTAGCATTAAAAAGTTTTCGCGGTTTCATTTCTATTTCTAAATTTTAACATTAAAACAAAGTTAAATAAACACAATTAATCTTCGGGTTTTGTGGTTATGTCAGAAGTCTCTGGATATTTAAAATTATAAAAGAACCAAAAAAATTGTTAGATGAAGTGAAAATAAAAAAGAGTTTAGGCAATCTCTGTCTAACTAGATGTTATATACCTGAGCAAGTACATTATAAATTATCCCAAAAAATTTGATAGTCCATAATAAATTCTAGCAAAAATATAAACGTAATAGACAATGTTATCTTTATAAAGCTACACAAACATTATGTTGGCGCAAACATTCAGGAAATGGACAAAGTGGATATTAAAAGAAGCTAAATAAAAAATTATAAAAAAGTAATCGAATAAATATGATATCTTCAATCCTTTAGTTGACAAAAGATCCGAAAATTTTCGGATATAAAAACTATGTAATTCAAAAAATAACATAAAATTTAGCCTGATCTGATTAATAGGTAAAAAACAATATAAAAAATTTTTACTGTAGTAAAGTTTGTGTTCATTAGATATAATTCATTTACCATTTTTGCTTTGACGAAATTATGGGATAGAATTTTTCTAATTTGGAACAATGATAAATAATAAAAAAATGTTGTATTTATTCGTTTGCACATCTCATAATAATCAAATTCAGAAGAATTAAATAAAAAAAGGAAATTGTGGAAACATTTAAAAAATTAGTGGTACGTACATATATGTAATTATGGAACTGTTGTAGATAAGAGTAATGAGAGTTGGCTACTACTACATACATCATAGTTTCAGAGATTTAGAATTATTTACTTTTTCAGATCAGAAACCTCTTTTATCCACTTATAGACAAACTATTTTGAGGGTAATTATGTTCATAGGTAAATAAATAGAGCTACTGCCAAATCGAAAAATTCTCGGTTCTTCGGTTTGGTTCAGTTCCCAATTGATATAAAATATATATGGGCTCTGAACTAGTAAATTAAATAATGATAGGGTAGTTCTAAATTGTTCAACCGAATGTGAGAAAATTTTAAAACCTTTGAGAGCGATTGCCAGATTTTGAACTACCCTAGAACATATTATATTCACATTAAAAATTAATTAATTATTTATGTGCTTTTAAATCGTCTTTCTATTTTGTCACTGATTACTCTTTTAATTTTACTTAATTTTGGAAGTTTTCTAAATTTACTTGTCATTTTTTCTTTTAAACTTTTTGATGATTTTTTGCTTTTGTTACTTTCTTCAATATCTTCAATATAATCTTCATCATTAAACCATGGAGATTTTGGACTTGAAACTTTTCCCTCCTTCGTTTCTTCCTTCTCCCCATCATTATCCTCTTCAAAAATTTCATGACTTGCACTTGGCTGTTGATAATCTTTTCGTATTGGAGAGGTTTGACCTGAGGAAGAATCTGCTTGATAAAATCTCTCCCAATCCCAGGGCTGTATATTTTGAATTTTACTATAGTCTGATGACACTTCTTCAATTTCTTCTATTTCTTTAGAAACTTCGGTGTGTTGGAATGGCGGAATCTCTCTCAGTGTTGAACCTTAAGATATTTAATTTTTAAAAATAATGAGCATGTTGATAAGATTTATTCAGTTTTGTGTAAGATATAAAGTATTACGTGATATGATATAGAGGTGCCGTTAGTCAGACATTATTCTAAAACTAGATTCTAACAAATTTTCTACTATTCCCCAGTATTCCACGTTTGTCTTCTGTTATGTTAATTCTTCTGATAATAAAATATAAGTTACCTTTATCTTTTTCTTGTTCATCTGCCTTGGATGAAGCCTTGAATAAAGCTAATTGCATAGCAAGATTGTCTGAGCCCTGACTATCTCTTTTACCCTCTTTAGCTCCATCATGCTTTGTTTCATAAAATAAGGGTTTTGAGCCAATATCTTGATCGCTTAATGAACGTTCGGGTAATTGCAATACACCTAAAGACCTTGCTCCGGTAGGCTGGCTTCTGTGGCGTCTTCTAAATTTTTATTATAAAAAATATGTCAAATGTCACCTTTCTTTAGATAATTGTCTTCTTAATGGACTCCTGGCCATACGAATATCACCCATGTGTTCTTCTTGTTTATGTTCCTGATCTAGGCTCAATGCAATATTTTTATGATATTCATTATCTTCAACCTCCTTATCATCAGCAAAATGGCCCTCTCCTCCTGGAATATGTTTTCTCCGACTTCTCATTCTCAAAGGAGTCCCTTCCTCTTCATCATCCTCCTTTTTGGCATCCTTATTTTTAACAACTTCTTTTGATTGTTGTTTTTTACGGCTTTTCTTCCGTAAAGAAGTTTCTTCCTCTTCCTCTTCTGCCTTCCTTATTTCATCTTTATCTTTATCCTCTTCTCTTCTCATTTCTTTCTCCTTTCTCCTTTGCCTTCTATCTATTCTTTTTCCCAATTTAACAAGATTAACAAGAGATTCCTTATTAATTGGAGAATCCTTAAATAAATCTATAAGTCTTCGCGACGTTCGCCTCCTCTCGTGATGCTCAGGTAAACTTTCATCTTCCTTGTATAACTTTTCCTTTCCTTTCTTTCTCCTTTTGACTTCACTTTCATCAGTTTTACTACTTTCCGATCTTAATTAATTAATTTTATTAATTAAATCAACCACGAATTATTAATAATCCCTTACTTGTCATTATCTAAAGCTTCGTCAGGAAGACTGATAATTTCTATTCTATTGTATTCCTTTCTTTCTCGTGCCTGACCGACATGATAAGTATAATGAGGATATTCACCATTCTGAAACAGAAATATTTTTAATATAATTCTTGTACTTAACTAAAGGAGCATTCTAGGAATTTAACAAAATTTATAAACACTGCTCAGAAACCAAGTCTCCGCTCAATTAGCTCTTATGCATGAGCTTATTCTATTTTTCCATCCAGTCAGAAAACGAATTTAATCCTCACTAAGTTTTCACAAAAGCGTAATTAAAACTCAGCCCGAAAGGAAAATTTGAATGACATTGAAAATTAATAAAAATTAGGATAAAATTCCTATATTTACTACAGGGTGACAAGAAAGAAATGGGGCACACATTTTATGCCGTAACTTTATTCTAATTAGAGCTAATGGGATCAAAACAAGCTTATATGATAGAGAATTAAACAAGGAACAGATATTATCAAAAATTTTCTAAGTGCCCACCCTTTTGCCGGAAATAGAGTTGAATGCGCGCGGAAAAATTTTAGTCAAAAGTTCGCAAGTCAAAAAATTTTTTTCAGACGGAAATTTTTTTATGAACGGAACATCTTGAACTAATAAAAATGACAGATATTGTGCCCCAAAGTCTCCTCTTTCTGATCCACTTGTTACTGATTCCCAAAACCTTTCTTCTTTGAAGATATAGGATGTTATTTGCAAAACTGTCAAAATCCGTTGATTTTAGTGAATACTGAGGGTTTTCGTGAATCTACGGAAAATCCTTCAGGGTATTTTAGAGCCTTGGGTCCGAGGTCACTTTCGACGTAGGGAACGGATCTTTCGTCAGAATTCTTTCTCAGCTCATAAGGCTAGAGTAGTGCAAGGTTGATCAGAGCCAATTTACCATGTTTTAACACGTCTCATAAATTGACACTGTACTCATTGGAGTTGAATCCGATGGATTACTCCTTTTGGCATTTTTGAGGGAACTGTCTGTTATTAATAACCCAAAAGTTTAGAGTCGATATTGCAATCACTCGTCCGGTCTTGAGAGAAAATCTCACCCAAGATGGTGCGAACTTTTGCCTAGAATTTTTCCGCGCGCATTCAACTCTATTTCCGGCAAAAGGGTGGGCACTTAGAAAATTTTTGATAATATCTGTTCCTTGTTTAATTCTCTATCATATAAGCTTGTTTTGATCCCATTAGCTCTAATTTGAATAAAGTTATGGCATAAAATGTGTGCCCCATTTCTTTCTTGTCACCCTGTAGTAATTATATTATTTAAACCCCAATTTTAACCTGCAAAATAGGCAATATCAGCTGAATATGATACAAAATTTTTTCTTTTATCTCGTCATCAAATACAGCCTCATTTCTTAACAATAAAATAAAAAAGAAATAAAGTAATATTCCTTACTCTTCGTTTAAATTAATTATATTTTCGCATATAGGACATAGCTTCAATTTAGAGATAAACTCTTTTGTTTGTTCATTTTGAGGTTCATTAGAATGCTCTGTTGCTACGCTTTAATTAAAAAATAATAATTAAGAATAATTTAAGCACTTTCCATGGTTGAAAACAAATCAACTAACGGAAATCTTATTCAACACTCAACGAGAACTATGCCGGTTTAAGATTTATTATGTGGAAGAACAGGTGAAGGCTGCATTATGATAGCTCAGTTGGTAAATCACTGGGACTTGGCAATAATTACCAGCAGCAATAACTACCTTGATTTCGTAAATTTTATTCATCCGTTTATTACTTAATCCAAAAATATCTTAATTTTCTAGATTTATACACTGAATTTTAATTGAAAAATATAGAACGAAGAGACGGCTCTAAATTTTAATCATTATTTAGGATTACTTACTGTGTGTTAATGCATTCCTTATGAAAATAATCCTAAAATTTGTAATTATATTTATATAAATAGTATATATAAAGGCAATATACATACTATGCATCCTTTAAGTTTGTAAATTGCATCTTTGCCATGCTTTCTACCTTGACAAAGTCCGCATATCGGTACCTTAAATTTTTAAATTTCCTAAATTTTTATAGGTATTAAGCAGCTAATAAATACAGAACACTTTTAGGTCTAATTCGCTGTCTATTTTTAATACCATTGAAGTGTTCCTACCCCTACCGGCTTTTAAGTGTTCCCTACCGGCTTTTAAGATTATAGCTACTGTCGGAGGTTTCATTCCAGTCTACTAGTTAGTTAATTAATCTTATCGGAAGATATAAATCTTATCGAAAATCCTCAGTTTTTAGGGTGGGTTCGGTTTTAAACAGACAATCATAGTTTAGAGGATAACGAACACAAGATTGTGAGCTCAAGGGTTGTTTCTCTTCCTTTCCATTCAAACCATAACGAGTTTAAGCTAAAAACTTTTGAATAATTACCTGTTTAACAAAGAAATTTAATAAAGGATCTTCATTAGTCCTCAAATAAGAACTGAAATTTAAAGCCCCTCTTCTAAAATATTCATCCAATTCCATTTTTACCTCATTTATTCCCAAATATTCCCTTTCATTTAATTCTTTCTCGGAAAATTTTTGAGCAATTTCACTCAACATATTTAGACCTACTTGTTCTGTAACTGGCGATTTTCCGTTAATCATAGCCACGTATTTTTTAAATTTTAACAATCCATTAACGCTCATTTCGATTGAAGGTAATTGTTCAACAAATATAAAATTAAGGTAGAAGTTTTGATCCAGGGAAAGTTGGTCAAAATGGCCAAATTGAAATATATGAACTTTGTCCAATTGTGGAGTAACATTTTCCCATGTATACTTCTGTAAAGTTTTTGTAATGTACTGTATTTCTTCTAATAATGCGACCGGTCGGTTTATTTTTCAACCATTCTCTAGAGGGTCGGTTTATTAGAAGGGGTCGGTCTAATTGAGAGAGTCGCACTATTAGGAAAATACGATAAACAGGATTATGCCGAAATTTATTTTTTATGTCGGTGGAATCCCAAGTATTGTGTACAGTAGAATGTTAGGGGAATTTGGGATATACTATAGATGAATTTATTTTCTGATGACTTGAGATTCCGATTAATAACCAACTACATTTACGTTTTTTGGAAAAGTAGAATGATTTATTTTACAAATTTTTCTTTATTTAATTCAAAAATCCTACTCTAAACTGTCCAGCTAATAAATCCATTGATCTAATGTGGACACGAATTAGGCTAATTTTTTTATAACCAATTCCTTCCTTTTTCTTTCCAGCGATTAGTTTTATTTCAAAAGCACCAGCTTTGTCAACATTATCATTTGTAGCTTCTATATAAAATCTCAACCAATTATCACAACCATGCAAACATTTTATTTCTATTTTCCACACAATTGGCTTTGGAATTCCATTATAAAAATAAATACTTGGTTCTATTAACCCTCGAAATTTGTGTTGCCTCTCACTTATTGAAGTAAAGACTTTATTATTATTATTTAGAATAATTTGAAGTAAAATACAAATAAAATTTTTAATAATAAATATTTTTGTTTTTTCAGACATTTTATTACTAAAAATGGGGGATTGGATTTTTTTGGTTATATATTTTGCGCTGAAAAGTTTAAAATTTGTAATACATAAATTTTTGAATAAAAACGAGAAACTATTTGTTTGCCCTTATCTATGTCGTCTGTTTTACAATCTTTTTCTTATTTCTGTTGCCGATTTTGGCATTTATAAAAATTATTTAGATACCTATTTAAAGTTTATACAGCCTAAAAATTCTATCCCTACTCAAAATACTACAATAAAATTTTAATTTATATTCAAGAATAAGGATAAAGAAAAGATTCAGATTCCTTAACATAGACTAAATGCTAAGATAAATAGCTTATTTTCGTAACAGTGAGTAACAGCTTTTATTTTATTGTTTATTTTAAATTTATTAAATTATGAGGGGGGAAGATAATTTAATAAATTTCAAAATTTAAAAATAAAAATAAATTTTGTCTGAGAAAAGTGCAAATTTAATATGAGAATGCACTTTAATAATTTATTTGTCAATATTGCACTTTTAATTTAAAAAAATGTTTTCAATATTTGTCAAAATTTATTTTTATTTTAATTAATTTAGAGTAACAAATACATATGTATGTATATTTTCATTGTTTTTGATTGTCCAGATAATCGAAAATGGAAAGTGGACAGAACACAACCATAGAACCTGTATTAATTACCCATGGTAATTATTGTTTAATGGGGTTTCTGTAATAAACGGGTTTCTGTAATTATGAAAATCATAAAAATGTTTAGCAAAACAAGAAATACAAAAAATTAAAAAAATAAAATTTATGAAACATCTTTCTCTAGTTGTATAATCCTTATTTATAAAAGCCCCTCATTTTTCACGCAAAAATAACCAAAAAGGCAATACCGAAAGTAATGGCAGTAAAAATAACAAAAGCAATAATAAACAAAGAGCTTTGATCAATCCAGCACTGAAATTGTATATATCATGTTATTTTTAAAAATCTTTGCCAAATTGGGATTTCAGAATTTAAATAATAACAGCTATTACACCTCTATCCGAAATTATTTAATGTTAGAATTAAATATTGTTTGTTTTCATTGTGGATTAATCAACTGGAGTGATCACGAATTATTACCACTGTTTGAAGTTCTGATTTACTGCATGCCAAGATTTGCATGACTGCCAGACATATTAGAACAAAAAATAAAAAACTAAAAATAAGAAAAGCTGCTGCAGAAGTGTTTGCAAATATTTGGAAATTTGTGCAGGCAATTGTTAAAGCTGCCACTAAAATGATTTTTGCTTTATTTAGATTAGAGGTGAGATATTTACAAGCAAATATCCAAGCACCAAACCCTCCAAGTCTGTGAATGACATTAAATATTATTCGGCTATTCGAATCTGGATGACACCTGAAATTAAAATAAGAAGACATTAAAATACATTCAGACATGCAACTATTCATTATGATGGATAATTCTGAGGGATTATATCAAGGGTTATTTGAGAGATTAAAAGTCATTTGGGGGGCCAAGAAACTAACTAAGGCCTGCAGATTAAGGCGATATCGGGATTAGGTGGGTGTAGAGGGATATCAGGTTGGGGTTCCTCTTAATCTCGATAAGTGGAGGTAATTTTTTAAGATGGTATCAGGGGCACTGGCCCTTAATCTCTTGATATACCACTTATTATTCATCTAGTAATAAATAATTATCACATGTATTAATTATTTATTCAATAATTTATACCGAAAAAGAGCACTAATCAACTGAGAAAATGCCAAAAATGAAGCAATCGTTCCCACAAGAGCGTGTACTTGTCCCCAGTTGATCTTAATTTGAAATCTTTTTTAAATAAAACATATAGAATTACAGAAATCCCCATTTTAGGTCCATCCCATTTTCCACCAGTAGCGCTCATAATGCAAATAATGGCAAGAAATGTACATAAAATAGTAACTGAGTTAAGAAACCGATGAACCTTTTAAAATTATTAGTTAAATCTCTATTTCTACTAATCCAACCTGAAACCATAATTGTTCACCCAATAAACGCTTCAAAGGATTCCTTTGGAACCGTGCAAATAATATAGCCAAAGGGGCAAATAATAGCCATGAAAATATCATTAACACGGCTGAAAAATTAAATAATTATTTTGTACATATTTATCTTAAAAACTTTGCTTTAAATTTCCATTCAAATAGGATTGAGCGAGATCGAGATTGTAAAGCAATTTATGAAATTATTTCGAGATATTTCGATAACACTGGGCTAATACTTAAGACTAATGCAGAGAGCCTTCTTTTAATTATTTAATTTACCGTGTGTTTTGATCAGAAAAATATTTGAGATTTCCGTTGAATTGCTGGGAGGACTTTGGGAGGAACATGCAGGTAAATAAAAATAAATAAGAATAAATTTAGCAAAATTCATAATCATCAAAGCTTTGTCTGATAGTTTTTCACTAAAAGATATTTTTCAGTTAGGACCTAAATTTCTGAAGTTTCATATCATTTTTCATTTTAGTACGTAAGACAATTTATTTCTCTTTTTAAAGTCTTCAATGGACAATCTTGGGTAATTAATTTTTCGTCAGATTTTAATTTAATATATTAATCTTTTAAATTTTTTTTGCTTTTATGAGCAGAAAAAATTATATTTCTGTGTGAGTTCCCAAATTGTTTTTAAATAAAAATACAAAATAAAAAAAGGATTAGGTATTTTCTAAAATAAATTTTATTTTGTATTACATATGTCCAAAATTGTCGTTTTAATTATTTTAAATCTACAAGATTTGTGTTCCAACCATTCTTTAAATAGAAATAAATTAAGGGGGATAAAGCCTTAATATAATTTTAATTTTCTGTTTATATGACAAAATTATCGTCTGAATTTTAACTAAATTTCAGAAATGTAAAAATTTAATAAAATTAAAGTTGAATTAAATTCTTGGTAAAGGCAGATGTTTTAAATGGATATATAATTTAATAAAAAAAATTTTTTTAATGTTATAATTAAATATTTATAGGCTAATAAAAAATAATTCGTGATAATAATTGTTAATATCAAATTTTTGTCTAGGCGGATTGCTGCTTAGCAACAATTGAATTTTAAGTAGTATTTTTAGTTGAAACCTTAAAATTTATTTTTATAATTCCTTAAAATTTTTTTTTTAATTTTTGGGTTAGAATTGAAATGAGTAAATGGAATAATTTTAAAAAATTATGGCATAATTATTTAAATAAAGGTTGCATTCTATCTTCGTTATTATGCAGCTTTGTCTATTACATTTGACATGTTTTTAATCTGATAGATAAAAATACAAAATAAATTTCCATCAGGGCCCGTAGAATAAGAACTCGGTTGCTGGTTAGGTAACCACCACCCGGCGGTTTTAACCGGTAGAATAAGACGGTCGTAAGGTTAACCATGACCTTGTGGTTAGGTGACCTGGTTACCTAACCAGCAACCGGCGGTTAAAATCAACCGGTAGCATAAGAACGTGGTTGCTGGTTAGGTAACCATAACCACGTCGTCAAAAAAGCTACCATGGTCGATAGCAGGGTTGAAAAAAGTAACCATGGGCTTTTAAATTATAAAAAATTTCAAAATTAAAATAAAATTCTGAAATAAAATTTTTCTAATATTTTAAACAATTGCCTATCGAAATATATAAATTTTGTGAATTTTGACCGCGGAAAAGATTTTCTATGAAATTTTTAAAAAGACACCCTAAAATCGAGCATTTTTATTTGGGCAAAATTTCCATAATGACGGAAATTTTTATAAAAAATTATAAAAACGGGGTAAAAGTAAAAAATAAAAATTTTCTGATATTTTAAATGATTTTTTATAAAAATATTATATAAAATGCGAAATTTTTTTACAAAATTTTTTTATTGTTTTTAAAAGGCAAATTAATTAAAACGCGCTGCCAGTTCATCACGTAAATTTACAGCAATTTGACGGGATCTATGTTCGTTTAAATTATGACAAATATTCTCTTCAATTTCTTCCTCCTCCATTGCTTCTGAAAAATTTTGATCAATTCCCTCTTCAATTTCAGGCAGTTTAAACATTTTTGCAATATTGTGTAAAACAAAACAGGCAATAATTGCTTTGGGCACTCGTTCAGTTTTGAGGCGATAGCCAGTATGGTTTATGGTGAAACGTCTTTTCATCTGTCCAAACGCCCTTTCAATAGAACATCTTGCCTTGCTCAAAGCCTAGATTTTTAGAATATTTTTAAATAAATTTTTAAACAAACATTATTGAATTTATTCTGAGCTGGAGACAAAGGATTTTTGTATGGAACAAGGAGCCAGGGCTGAGAGTTCTGTGAATAGGGTACAATATCGTCTTCTATTATTTAACAAATATACGAAATTGCTTCTTCATTGAATCTGAATCTCTTCAGTAATTCTTTATTTTTTGAATCAGGGAAAAGGGCTTGAAATTCCGCAATTAAATTAAAATATTCTCCTTTCTTCTTTCTTTTATTTATTTTTATATTCATATACTCAGCCATTGCTAAAATAAAATAAAAATTTTAAAAATTAAACGGTATTTTACCGGTTTACAATGACCTTGTGGTTACCTAACCATGGTTAGGTGACGATGGTTAGGTAACCATCGTCACCTAACCACCTTCTTATTCTACGGGCCCAGACGGGGTTGTGAAAAAAACTCGGATTTACATACATAGTTTTTATAAATCTCTCTAAGAAATTTTTACAAGATTCATGTTTTTATAGCTTTTCTTTTTCTCATTTCCAACTTCGAAATATTCATTTAATTCTAAATTTTATCAAAAGTACAAATATAAAAATAAAATAAATATTTTTAGATATTGAATTTTGGATAAAAAATTATTTAATGTTTATTAAATAAAATATTTTTATGTATGTGAATTTTCCATGTAATTCTGAATTCTGAAGACGAAAGAGACAGAATTGAATTGAAAACGAAAAATAGAACTTTATCTTATATGCCCACTTTATGTAAAAGTACAACAAATTAAAAATACTTTATAAATAAAAAGTATAATTTTTATCAACTTCTTAGAACGCTCTGATTATAACGAATTTGAAACGCTAATGATTGCGGATTTGAAGATTTTGGAAAAAGGAGGAAGGAAATTTTTTTTGTTTTAATGATTTTTGCTTCGTATTTGTTGAAGCATACTTAGAGCTCGAATGCTTTTAAGGATGATCCTCGATCTTATCAACCTCTAACCTTGAATATAATCTAAAAACAATCTTTTGCATTAATAATTTTAACAATATTTCATTTCGATTAATTTAATTATAGTAATTAATTAACAAAAATATGTGATCACTAAAGAATATGGATAAAAAAACAACCATTCCGTTATACACATTATTTTTCTAATTAGCTGGAAAACATTTTTATTTATATTAATCACATTTTGTAAAAGCTGTGATAAATTAATTTAGCTATACATTTAATAATATTTTTTTATTTATTTTTATTTAATAAATTGTTTATTTGAAAAAAATTTTAATTTAAAAAAATTAATTAATAATTTAATTTGAATAAATTTTATTATTAAAGTTGTTAGTATTAAATTAAAATAGGTATACATATTAGCCAGAGACTAACAAAGATTTTAGTTTAGATTTATGCTTTCATGTAGTTTTTTCTATTTTGGTATAGGGGTAAAATATAGGATTAGAATAGAGTTGGTTTCAACCGATTAGTCGAACCCGGATCGAAAATCGGGTGACAGGCAAATTACCAAAATTAAAATACACCCTTAATTATGATTTAGTTGTGACTTTTTTAATATTTGAATTTCCAAATCTATCAACTTATCATTAAAGTAAATTTAATAGTAGATTATTATTAGATATTTTCCAAATAGGCAAATGATATTAAAATCTGGAATTTTCTTAATATTTTTCTGCCTTTGTGAGTGCAATTTGAAAGACAGAAATTTAGCTTTAATTGCTAATTTAAATCGTTTGCCACTTGTCCAACGTGTACAATCAGTTGAAAAACTTTCTAGAAATATTCAAACACACAATGAATGGTACCCGCAATTTTATTAGAAAAAATTTAGGCTCTGGTCTAGTTTAGTAGTCCAATGAAAGTTTAGTATTACCTAAAAGTTTAGTAAAGATTCAAGATTTATGGGTCAAATGAAGGTTTATCAGGTCAATCGAAGAATAAAGTTCAAACAAATAGTAATGAAGTATTAAGCATTTTGTGGCTCCGACTCCGATCTTTTTAAGATCTTGGCCCTACTCCCGGTATAATATTTCGAATACCCCGTGACATCTTTGCTATGTATGTATTAGGGACAAGTAACATATCGTTCTCCTTCGACGTGTACCAAAATTCGTACTCGTATTTCATACATTGTACGGAGTGGTATTACGAAGCCAAAAAGAGATACGTGTATGTGAGATACGTGTACGGGCAAATTTGAAATTTTGAAGCACTGGTTATGACTGGCTAACTTAAATCTATTAGTTTTAGCTAAAATAACCAAATAATTTTAGTATCGAAAACTCAGAAACTAGAATGAGTTCAGAATGTTGTGGTGAGAAAATGTCTTATTCTTTTAATGTAAAAACAAATAATAATTTGACTGAAAATGTTATAAGTGGACTAAAGTTTGATTGCGCATTTGTATCCGTTATAAACAAATATAAACTTAGTGATAAATACACAATTAATCAAAAAATTCAGGTTAAGTACGGCATTTTTCTAAAATAACCCCCTCCCCTAAAATAACTCCCCTCTAAAATAATCCCCTCCCCCACACTAGAGGTCGATCGAAAAATAGTTCAAAATTTCAATACATCTTTATTTAATTTAATCGGAAAACAAATCAAAAATTATTTTCTTTAATGTTAAAATGGTTTTGGGTTTTGTAATAATATTCCTATTTAAGACTAGAGTAAGTCGAGCTCGAGCGAGTTCGAGTTACTCGACTCGACCGCTCGGGTTTTTTGCGTAATTACTCGACTCGGAACTCGGGATCATAATACTCGGATTACTCGAGCTCGGAAACTTCCTACTCGACGTACTCGGTTAAAACCGAGTATATTTATGCCCCCATCTGCGGCGCAAAAAGGAAGATTTTTAGCTTAAGGATCTT